AGTTCCTTATTCAGGATACCCGAAACCACAGTTCCACTGACATGGCCCTAGTTCCAGTTTTGGCTGATGAACACGTTTGTCCTCATTAAGCCAACTGTGGAGAATATACCAGGAGTACTCATAAACAGGGAAGTATCACCAATTTTAAGCGGGGCTTATGTACAGAAAAAGAATTGGCTGGTTATTTTCACTACTGCACATAGAAACTAATATTCAACCAGGCTTATAAGAAACCAAATAGGCATGTTCCACCCAACCTGAATGCAAATTAATGTGTATTCAAATTAATCTTTTAAGTCTAAATATTAAGTATAATGCTGGCTACCAAACGAAATCCTACCAAGTTCCCCATTTTAGCAATTTTGGCCCCTATAAATGCTCTTCCACAGACAGGATAACATGATAAAATAGTCTGTTACATCTCAGACTACATTCTGAGTAAATCTAGTCTTGTACTTTTTGAACACAAAATATATCCATTGTGCAATATGGCACATTAGTTTGGGTCCTGGGCTCTGCGACATTACAGCTCTTTGCCATTTTGGACAATAAGTTACTAACCTCTCAGCCACAGATCCCCTGTATATCAAATGGTGGCAATTCTTATTATAAAGATTAGATGAAATAATGTATCTCTTAGCACAGTGTCTATAACATACTAAGTGTTCAGTAAATTATTGTGCTTACTTTATTCTGTTCAGATGTATTTATTAAAAGAGTCTGCTTTTGTAGGTAGTTCCCTTTCAAGCTATATTACATTTAGGTCATATATTAAGAGGCAATCACATATTGACTAGTATCTCAATTTCAAAATCACTCTTATTCCAGCACATCTTGATAGCTAGTATAAACAATTAATCAATCCCTGATTCTCACACTCAGAATTCTACACTGCTGGGGAGGAAAAACCTTGTTTCCAAAACAATTCTAAGAAAATTTAAAGTGTCTGACTTTAACATAACTCAGGCATGAAAATATAATCTTGCTATTCCCCAAAAGAAATTGGTATGTACTGGAAAATTTCTGAGCCAAACAGAATAAACTTCAGACTTTTTTACCAAGAAGGCCAAGATTTTAAATTTTCAAAAGCATAGGGTGGGGGTGGGGGTAGAGAAGAAGCAAACTAGGACGTAAGTTATCAATCACATTGTTTGTTTAGAGAAGACTCCCCAGCTTAATCCTGTCCAAGATGTTCAAATTACATCTATCATTCAGAAGGAAAGTTGTACCTAAGAACTTCATTTGTAGCATGCTTTAAACTTTGAACCTTGCTAAACAAAGAGGTAAAGCCGTTAAAGGCTTTAAAAGAGAGGTTTAAAAGTTTCCAGTGCTAGGTAACATGGCTAGAAACAAATTTAAGAAACAGTTTCCTCCATCAAACAGTAGAAAGGAATGCTGTTACTTGTTAAGCAGTGTTATTTTCAATGTTACTTCACTCAGATAACAGAAATTATAGTCGTGAATCCACATTTTAGACTGCTTCAGAGAACATAACGTGTGCAAATTCCAATGTAAGAACCTGTATACACAAACAAACTGTCATCTAAACTGCCTCCAAATAAAAGTAGTAAGAGAACAAATCTATAGGTCACATCCACCAACTTTAAACAACACTGCAACAACAACAAAATCTATAAAAGCCACTGCTCAATTGAAGGCTTCAAGTAACACAATGGAAAATTCTAGTGAAACTAAAGAATCTGGCTAATTCCTGGTAGTGCATCATAATGGGTCATGACCTATATTAGCCCTCCTGTACATCTGGGGGATAATTATTCACTTTACAATATGGCACACAATCATCTCTGCTCAAGTTTCTGTAAGATAAAATTAAGTAGGCCTGATTATTCTATTAAATTAAAAGAAAAACAAATCTAAGAAATAAAAAAACAAGTTGCTACCTTCAATTCACATTATAATCACTAGTTTCTATAGCACACCAGTGAAAGAGTGAGCCAAAGCCCATGTCATTGAACAGAACCAACTTTCAGAAGACTCACCCCAACTCTGTCACTAATTTATTAACGAAAAAAACACCATGGCAAAACCAGTCTGCTAACCCTAGGCCTTCAGTGGACTCAAGCACACCTCAATTCATTATGGTAGTAACAATAAAGAGCTTGAGAGGTGGTCCTCTTACCATTGCAAATCTAGTGGTCAATGACAAACCTGGGTTGGAAACTAGAATGTCTAATTCTTGTGCTGAAATCCACTTCTCACATGGCCTGGGGGCAAGCCACTCTGCTATTCTAAGAATGCTTAGAATATGTAATGTTCCAAGAAGTTTTTTTTTTGGGGGGGGGGGTATTTCCTTTTAGTAAAAAATTTCTATAACTGGGAAAAGAACAAAACAGTGACAAAACAGGAATATTTCTGGCACACCTTTCTCAAATGAACATTAGGAAAAATAAGTACGTGGCCAGTTTTAATCTAGTCTGTTATTCCCACAATAGACACACCTACAGTTTATTTTACAAGAGACTCAAAACTCACTTAATTTCAACAAGTATTAGTACACCACGCACCTCTACAGTGGTATGCTCAGATATTCCAGAGAAAGCCAAGAGGGACCTTGTTGTTAAGGTTCATATCAGAAAGCCCCATAATCCAGATTTCTTCTGAACATAAAGATCTAGATACGTCAAACAAAACCTCCCCTCCCCCCCATCACTCACGCGTTGGTATTTCCAGTTTATAGGTGGGTCTTGGAACAGCTAACACCAGGAAGCTCCAACGTAATTAGAGGACTTGGGGAAGTCATCTTGAGGAGACGGAAGACCCAGAAAAATCAGGGGAGTCGGAGACAGGTTGTCCCTGCCACCTCTCTTTCCCGCCCCATCCACACTTCATCCACTCGGACCTCAGAGGACCGGGAGGGGGAGGCCATTTTAATGAAGTCTGGCTAAGGAACGTGAAGGAAAGGGAAGAGAGGAAATAAGCGAAGGGAGTACGGAAAGGAAGGCCGGGCCCTTCCCAACAGCGCCCGAGTGGGCTGGCAGCACCTGGGGCTCGAAAAGTGAGATAATAGATTCAGGAGCTTAGAAGGGAAGAAAAGTAGCGAGGCTATTCGACCCTCACGAAGGGGTCGAATAGTCTGAGCCCCGAGAGCGCGCGGCCCTTTACCCCCAAAAGAGGGAAGGACCCCTTCTAGAGACAACAGCGCAGACCCTCGCCCCTATACCCGGGGCTACTACCCTGAGGTCCAGAAGGCGGGAGTTGGCTAGTGCCTGGTTCTCCTCATCCGGCCATGCGGCGCGGGGGCGGCCATCCCAAGGGGTCCGGGAACCAGGAGGGCACGGGGGGTGGGGGGCAGACACGGCGCTCACCCGCGGGCCGCCTCCAAGCTCTTGATGAGCTTCTTGATCTTCCATATTTCCACGTTCCTGTCGGCAGCACTGGGGTCGTCCGCCATCTTCTCGCCTCCTCCTCCCTAGAGCGGCCCGGCAGGGCCCGGAGACACCAAGACCACAGAGTTAGCGCCGCCGCTGGGGCAGAGCGGCCCCCTTCCTCGCCACCCTAAGCGGCCCTCCTCTCTCCACCCCGCGCGTCCCGCCGTGTTTCTCGCTGGCTTTTCCCTTCGCCTGGCTTACCTAAGGGCCCAGTCCTGGGCGGCTGCTCCTCCCCGGCGGCGGCTCCGCGGCGGCGGCGGCGGCGGCGGCTCTGACGTAGGACACCGGCTCCCTCTCTCCAGGCAGCTGCATGTGTTGCAATCCGCTCACATGGGGCCTGTGACATCACTTCCTCCGCCAGGGGCGGAGTGGATGGCGGCGGGCGGAAGGGAGGGGGTCGGGGAGTGCGGAGAGGGGAAGCTCTGCGCGCGCCGCGACTCTCCATTGGCTCTCTGAGCCGCGGCCTACAATGGGCCCGTCGATTGGCCACAGCTGAAGTTGCGCGGCCTTGTGAGGTAAGGCAAGGGGGTGGGAGGTATCGCTTTCCGTTCCGGCCCGGCAAGCCGGGAGAAGGAAGAGGGCGGAACCCCGTGGCTCTCGCGAGGATATACTTAGCCCTCCGCCAGGCTGGAACGGGGGTGGTTCTTAAAGGGCGAGGTGCAAAGGTGTTCGTCTGTTCCATCTCTCCTAAGTGACAGAGTGGACGTCTGAGCCTGTGCGACGTGCGGCTGGGCAGTCTGACCCTGACACGCTATTTGAATGACGCCTGAGAAGCCTCAAAGAAGCGTATCGCGTTGAGCGGCTTCATCGGAGACGAAGTACTCAGGCCCTTGCTTACGTCACGACTGCGTGAGACTCTTTGCCCCCCTGGGCTGAAGACGCAAATACCTCGTTGCTGGGATTTTGAGGTGGAAGAAGGCAGGGGCTGCCTGAGGTCGGAGACCTGAGGTATCCGACCCCATGAATGGTCTGAGCTATTTAGAGTGGAGATAGAGTGTTGAAGTAAGATGGGCAGCTGTTTAAATTAGAAGTTTATCTTTTTTAGTTAGGTTTTTTTATTTTATGGCTCTCTTCACCTACTTCAGTCGGATTCTTTCAAATATTTGAGCGCAGACGGTGTGATAGATCTTGTTTTCCTGGGGATACAGGACAGAACCAAACTGATAATAGTGCCTACCCTCATGAAGTTTACAATCTACCCGGTAGTTGAGTTTATAACTCTTTGTGATTTTATACTTTTGTATAATAAAATAATTGCACAAATATATAATTGTGGTAAGTACTGCAGAGTGCTCTGAGTGTGTATGACGGGTCTCAACATTGGAATGAGACCTAAGGAATAAGTAGGAGTTTGTCAGGTGAAGAATGTGGCCATCTTCGAACACGTTATGCGAACATATTTGAGGAACTACAAAAAATCCAATGTGCTGGAGTAAAGTTGAATGGGGAGAGTGGTGTGAGAAGGAGGCAGGGGACAGATCGTGTAGGGCCAGGTTGTAAGGCAGGTTTAGGAGTTCAGCCTCTTTTAAGAATAGGCAGCTTAAAGAGTTCAGAGCTAGGGAGGTGACATGAAGATTTATGGCTACGTTTTTAAGGAGATATTTCTACTTGGGTTGGAGAAAGAGTGGAAGCCTAGCGATCATTTTAATTGCTGCTGTAATGCAGGTGAGAGATGATAGTAGTTTAAACTAGAAGTGAATGGATAATAATGTTTATAGGAGCTAGAATGGATAAGACTGGATGATAGATTGTGGAGGATGAGGAAGAATGACTCCCAGAGTATTGAATGACTCCCAGAGTATTAAAAGATTTACTGAGATGGCAAAGATAAGGAGCAGGTGTTAGGAGCTGATTGAGAATTTCATCTTGAGCGTTTTGAGATTGTTTATGAGACCTGCAAATGTTGATGCCAGTCAGGCAAATGGATTCGTGTGGACTTTGAATCCTTTTTACATGTGATCTCAACTTTGTCTGCATCTTGGAGATGCGGTGAGGGTATCATCCTCATATCATAGTTGGGGAAATTGAGTCAAAGGAAGATGAAAGGGATTTGCTCAGTCACACAGCTAATTTATGGCTTCTAGATTCCATGTTCAGTGTCTTGTGCATTATATCATGCAGACGCCTCATTAGTTATATTTCCATAGGGTGGGGACCAAGATTTCCTATAGGGCAACTCTTCTCTCCCTCAGGAAATGAATTTTCTCAATATGGAATATCTTCTTTAGGTTTCATTTTAATTTTTCATCATATGCTCACTCATTACATAATATTTTATTTCTGTGTGCTATTCATGGTACTTAGTAATGAATCTTAAATAATCATAAACACTGCTTACTGGCTGACTCTATCTCTGGTGGCACAGTGGTTAAGTGCTCGGCCGCTAACTGAAAGGTCAGCGGTTCGAACCCACCAGCTGCTCCATTGGAGAAAGATGTGGCCGTCTCCTCCGTAAGGATTTACAGCCTTGGAAACCCTATCGGGCACTTCTCTGTCCTGTAGGGTTGCTAAGATTTGGAATCAACTTGCCGGCAGTGGTGTTTTTGTTTTTTATTGACTGACTAATTTACTGTGTCCCAAGCTTTTCTCTACTTCATTCCTCTTGCCCATTTCCTATTTTCTACAATGGGTTGCCTTGATCTACCTTTCCTGCTCATTTATATGTTTGTGTTTATTGTATTGCTTGAGGTCTGTGCTTGATGGCTTTACAGGCTTTCTAGACCAGCTGACAGGCTTGCTGTTCAGTGATTCACGCTGAAATAAGCATGGTGACATCCTAGGTGGGATTGTTGTCAACGTTTGAATCCTTGAAACTTGGTGATTACCAAGATATGCAACATGTTTTTAGACTATTTCAGATCCAGACAGTTTAACTGTAGCCCCCAACATTCACCTGCTTAGTTGCTGCAGTTACCATCTCCGCATTCAGAATTGGTGATCAATGTGTTAGAGGTAAACACATCTGGGATGGATTTCCAACAGAAGTGATTTGAGAGGAATGGAGCAGGAATACTATTCCCTTCAGCACAGAGGAGGCTTCAAAGTGGGACCATGACCACTCAGTGTTTGGGAGGAACCTCCTGTGATATAAGGATGATACAGATTTTTCAAACTGCTCTATGGTGAAGATAGAATATGTAACCTTCTAGGGCACTCATTTTTTCTTTAAAAAATGAAGGAATGGTGCTTGATGATATCAGAACTTCTTCCCCAGCTCTAACATTAGGTAATAAAGTTATATGTTGGGGTACAGGAGATATTCCTAGCATATGGGTGGAGTAGGGGAGAAAGGAAAGGGATGGATTGTTGTAAGTTTTGATGTAGAAAATACCGATAACAGCTTGAGAACATAGTGCTGTTAGCTGTAAAATGAGATAATGGTTGCTAATGTGGAGGTGAGTTCAAGAGTAGCCAAGGTGAGGTAGGAGGGTGGGAAGGGTTAGTTGTGGAAAGCTTTGTTAAGGGCTCACTCTTCTGGAAGTCAGGGTTGTTAGAGGAAAGACCTGGAGCTAGGCAGCCTAAGGGTTTAACCCTGACTCTTCTCCTTAACCTGGGTGTGGTGTGATGGATTAGTTTTGTGTGACCTTTCTTGCCATTATAACTCCCAAGTGATTGGGTGGGACTGTGCAAATAGGGTAATTGTGGCCCACCAAGGGGACTGGTCAGTTTTGCCATCCCGCTGGGCTTGAAATGAGCCACCCCAGAGGCAGGAAAGACAGGATCCCACAACCACCAAGGAAGAACAGCCAGGAGTGGGGAGTGTGTCCTTTGGACCCAGGATCCCTTCGCTGAGAAGCTTCTGGACCTAGGAGATAGTGAGCTGTAACCTTGAAGACAGTGAGAAGCGGCGGCAGAAAAATCGCAGGAGAGACTGGCAGGAGACCACCCAGAGAACTTCCCGGCCTACAGACCGAGAAGGCTGAGTGCCTTTGGGCCAAGGCTTACTGGCAGAGTGTAGTGCCTCTGTGCAGTTATTGGCAGAGGCTAAAAGAGCTTTGTAACACTTGCCTGAGCAGGGCAGAGGCCTAGGACCAGAGAGGTGTGACTGCAAGCACAGCTGAAAAGAGGCTGTCTTGATGGAAGAACTGTATCCTGAGTGTTCCTGAGACTGAATTGTAACCTTTTACTTCTCTAATAAACCCCATAATCATGAGTATTGTCTGTGAGTTCTGGGTGGCCATTGCAATGAATTATCGAACCCAGAAGAGAAGTAGAGAGTGCTGTGGCAGGGATGGCTGGTGTCAGAATTGGTAAAAAGTTTGGAGAGAAGAGGTAAGTCTAACTTCTGCCTCAAAGGAATCAGCTTTGGGCTGATGTTGATCTTGATTCTCTCTGCATCCCCTTGTGAAGTTAGACGAGGAGGTCTGACACCACCGTGCCATTTTTACAGGTACTTTGTGGGACTACTGTTGGATTAAAAAACTTACATAAAGTGCCCAGTACCATTCCTGTTGTTGGTTGCCTAGCAGGCATGTAAGAAGTCATCCATGAATGTTAATTCCTTTAGTTTCCCTTAATTTTTTTCCTCTTCCACTATTTTCTATACTCATCTGTTGAGGATTGGTAGACAATTATTCACTTCATTCTCCAGCAGAAAATAAAGTTGAGAGACTAAAGATAGAGCAGATCCAAAGTACAATTCTTGGGATTTGTTTTGCTGGTGGAAAGAGGAGCCAGTAAAATAGGCCTGTGGGATCTTTCCCCTGCTTCAGTGGCTGGTGCGTTAATAATTGTTAGAATTTGTGGCTTTCAGAGTTTAAAATGAAACTTCATTAAACCCCAAACCAAACCCATTGCCATCAAGTCGATTTTGACTTATAGTGACCCTATAGGACAGGGTAGAACTGCCCCATAGAGTTTCCAAGGCTGTAATCTTTACAAAAGCGGACTGCCACATCTTTCTCCCGCAGAGAGGCTGGTGGGTTCAAGCCACCGACATTTCAGCAGCCGAGTGCTTAACTACTATGCCACCAGGGCTCCTTAAACTACATTAGTAAATTTTTTCTCTGGGCCTACGTATCTGAATAGTTTTGTGTGTGTGTTCCACGGCCCTGATCCTTCAAAGAGTTCCACAGAAGATTTTGTTTGAAGAAAGCTGTTTTTGTCCCTAGAGAAATAAATAATAGTTAGAAAAATCTCTTTTTAGACTCTCTGCCCTTAAGCATAATGAATTTGAGGAATGCAGTTCTGTAGATTCCACCCTTAAAAAAAATAATCTTACAGTAAGTAAAAGCCAATGGAAGAGGAGCTAAGCTGTAGTGGTAACAAAACTCACAGGATTTAAGATTTGTGTAAACTGACTTAAGACGGTTATCTGTGA